ACAGAAGAATGTCACCACCAGTGCAACGAGCTGACAGTGGCGACAGATGACCATTTCGATCGAAGTGGCACCAGGGTTTTCTCTCTGGTTCCTGGCTGCCCATGCGGCGGGACCAACAATGGGCTGTGAGGGACACAAACCCATATAAAATTAGCACCAGGGTATTGGAGCCTGTGCCTGTATAGGAAGCAAAGCGTGTCTCCGCGTGTACAATGGTACCGAGGCGGTGTACTGAGACTTGTTGGTTCCTCGATCCTATGTACTCCAGAGAGCATGACGGACTGGTTTTGATCAAGTACCCTGCAGTAGTTCTGTCATTGTTTCCCTTTAATCCTCTCTTGCTCTTTGCATTAGTATTGTGTCATTTTACACCGATCGCTACCCGTCTGTGGAGGGGCGCAATTTCACCAACGCACAAGGTCGCAGGGACCACCAAGTGGGATGCGAGTAGTTCGAGAGGCGAAAACCCTAATAGAAACCGAGGGCCATCCTGCTGGTTGAGGAGATCCCGTCTGAAAATCCAAGTCAAAGTGGGCGGTTTCAAGTGCAGGACTGCTGGAGACGGCAGGCTAGCTTCGGGCGTCTTTTTGGCCCTTTGCCGCCGAGAGGAATTGATCAACCTCGAGGGATCCAGGTCCGAGATCTCGACGAGTTGCCGTTTGAGAGTTAGTGGTACGGTGGTCGGTGCTCGATAGTTGAGTGGGCGGTGGGTGGTAGGCGGCAGATGGTGGGCTGTGTGGATGAGATGGATTTTGTTGGCCTCTTTTCAAAGCACGGGAAAAGTTGGCTAAGGGGGTAGCCACATGCCCGCAGGTGTCGACTTTTGTACCCAGGACTTACAACTACGGGCACTGAGAAAAGCGTTTACCAGTAAGGAGGAACGAGTTAAGATTGCAACCCAGGGCAGACTCTTTATCTCCTTAGGCGCCTTAGTGACCTACGGAGTACCTAATAGCGGGGTCATCTGGGTACCTAAGGGAAACCCAACAATGTGCAGTCCAACTGGAACCCGTCCAAACAACACACCTAATGGCTGAAATCCGTTGACTGTTGACTGGCTAGGCACCCCCCTCCTCCCCCCCCAAACTGGGTCTCGTTTGGCCTGGCATCTTCTGGCTGAATGGCTGCGTCGCTGAGTTTTGTTTATGTGTGTTCGCTGGTCTCTGGCCTCTTACTAACTACTTCTCTCTCTGCCTCTGCTCACAAATCTTTTTTCTTCTCCAAATTTTTCTCTTTCCTTGCCATCCAAACCATCCCATTCCGGGTACCATTGGTGCCATTATTGGTGGCATCCTCTGCCACACTCTGCCACCCTCTCTCGCTTGCTGCTATTCCGGCTGCCCGCGATTTTCCCTCATCTTTCACCCATTTTCCTCTTCACCGTCGTCCTTTGTTCATTATTCTTCCTCTCCAAATTTTCCCTCTCCACTCCCGCATCCCGACTGCTCCCTACAAGCACACCACCTACGATTACTACCACCCACTCCCACTTCCCGTCCTCGCCATCCTCCATCCGTCTTCTTCCTACTGCTCCTCTCATCCAGCACCTTCGGTCTCTTGACCATACTCTCTTCTCGTAAGCAATCTGATTCATGCCAACTCATATACTCGCATCTTATTGACACCTTCCAGATCTCCTGTCTCTCGAAATTACGCTCTCGCAAAAGTCCTGGGACGCAGCAGTCACCGCAGAACGCCACCTGTCGCGCCGCACTCTCCCCTCCAAAGACACTCCGGTTCACGCTCTACCACTCTGCTGGTGTTCAGAGGAATTGACTTTTTATCTTCACACAATGTCCAAGTCGAATTTATAACAGCGGCGGTCCCTGTGGGCCAACATAAAATCATTTCCTTCACCAACCAAACAGTGCCATTCGGCTACTGGTGTTGGTAGCGTTCTTGCCTGAACTTGATCGCCATCTGTGTCGGGCTGTGGGAAAAAGTTCCTGCATTCTTCTTCAATACCTTTACATCACTTGCTTTGTCACTCCTGGCTGCAATTCAGATGGCGCATCACCAGAAACACCAGATGGACGCCACCCGAAGAGGTTCAGCCATGCAGAGTTTACTCAAAATGTTTAGTCTATCAAACGCCCCCACAGTTCCTCTCGGTGACGACGAGCTCAGTGCGGACGCTGATGAACCACCGGACGACCACGTATCCCCATTGACCGTCGTCCCAACGCGAGAGGCAGCCTACCATCGATCTCCCGCTCCTCCCAATCCTCGCCGCGAGTCTCTTTTGACTCGAGCCATTCTGGCGGAATCCAAGCACGAAGATGATTCTCATAGATTTGCCGACCGTGGGCTATCGACGACTTCCTCCCATAGTACAGCGAGCATGCCCTCGACTGCCGAGTTGACGAGTGATGGGGACTCCAGCCAGTCATCGTCGGCGACGCCCAGTCCACCACCTCCTTCAGGACGCTTCGGCACCCTCCTCAACTTCAAAAAAACAGGCTCCAAGGTGCTCATCGCCCCGGTGACGAAGGACGAAAGGGAAGCAGTGGCAGAAGTTGGCGAAGCCGCGGTTGAGAAGACGCTGGGCCGCAAGCGTTGCATCATGTTTGCGTGTGGGGGAACCGATTCTGAGAAGAGCAAAGAAAGCGAGGCATTAAGCAAGCAAAAGCCGTCAGCCGGACAACCCGAGCCCCCCAAGCGGAAGTGTGCACTCACCTTCGCTTGCCCCTCTCGAACGAGCACAAACGAGATGAAAAGCTCCCCCGCCAAGCTACGGGCTGAAGCAAAGAACGCACGGCGCCCGTCTCCTGCCCCTTTCAGGCGCAAATCCACCTCAGAATCTGTCGACCTCTCCAGCCACTCGACCGACACAGCTAGAGTAGCTAGTCCCGAGAAATTCAGACTCACCCCACCCTCCCCAAAGGCAGCCTTTCACGAATTTGCAGCATCTCAGGATGAGACCGACGCATGGGTTGACAAGCCAGATGTCCACAAGGAGAAGCTCACCTTTGATGATTGCATGAAAAAGGAAAACCGCATCCGGCAAATTGGTCGTGAAGCCGAAGAGGAGGCGGAGGAAGAAGAACGAGAACAGGAGGAACTCGGAAATGCATCTGAGGATGAATACAATGACAATGAGGATGATTTCGCTCCTTCCGACGATGGCACCGATGGTGGCAATGAATCTGACGACGAAGGAGGCTTCGCTAGCTCCGACGAAGAGAGCGATGGCGGCTCCGAATATAGATTCTGGGCGCCCTCGAACACCGGTGCGGGCATGAGCAGTGACCATCTCAACATCAGCCACTTCAGCGCCCGTCGACAATCCGAGGCAAGTTCCGTCGAGTCTTTGATTCGATCGAGTACGCCTCCCCTTCATTCAATGATGAGGCAAGTTGGAAGACGTCGCAATAACAACGCCTTCAAAGTGCCAAAGATGAGACCTGGCACACCAGAGTTGCCCGACAGCACCGACTTTGTCTGCGGAACTCTTGACGAGGATCGTCCTTTGGAGGCCGCGTACATCTCATGCCGCGAGCAAAAGAAGCGAGAGAAGCACATCCCCATCCCCCAAGATATAGATCCGAGCTTCCCGACGACTGATCCGGAAGACAACGAAGAAAACAGTGACGATGAAGAGGTCGACGAATCGCAACACAGCTCCGAGGGCCCGCGATGGCTCAAGGACGGGTTTGCAGATTTCGACGAGGAGCATCATGGACGCCGGAAGGCGTCGTTCACCATGCCAATCGCTCATTCACCCTCTCCCCCCCACACTGCATTCGGCGGAAGAGTCGGTCGCAGCATCCACCGCGTGCCGCCGCCGAGGCATGCGGTTGCACGATCACCACCACCTCGAAAATTGTTTGGGCATTCTCCCACTCGACTGAGGTCACCCTTTCCGCAAGCTAAGCTGCGTTCTCCTCGTGGGTCGCCGACAAACGCTGGTATCCGGACCAGGATCAACCCAAGAGGTCTTGCTCAACGTCCTGGCATGGAACGGACAGCGTCCCTCCCTGATACTCCTAATCCATTCTTCAAAAACTTCCACATTGGCAGTCCTTCCATCTCCAATATTGCGTCTGGAGCTGTCACGCCCGCTCTTGAGGAACCATTCCGTCCAGACATGCACGTTCGTGGCCCCGTTGACATTGTTGCCGGGCTTGAAAAGAAACGCCAAAAGCGCAAAGAAAAATACTGGCGTCAACATTGTCGGAAAGCAGCCAAGGAACAGTCTGAACGGAAACCGGTTCCCGGTCGTGGAGCGGAGCGCATGAAAGAGCTGGGTCTAGAATGTGCTGAGCGAACAAAAGGCTACGGCATCGGGCAACAGACTCAGCTGGTACTTTCACTTTGATTCCCTTCAAGTCCACCCTTTTACACATATATTGTTTTACTTGTCGACCATTTCCCCTCGGCTCACTTAGAGCTTTTTTTGAACATATATCGGTGCGGCTTAGCGCTCGAATATGACGAATTGATGATGGGATTGGGTGGGAGCAACAAGGGTTATCGCACAGCCAGCATATCATTTTTCACAAAGCACGGTTTTGGGATCCAGGGGGCATTTTATGCATAGCACCGGCGCACGTCGCGGGAGGCGCATCTTGCGTTGTAAATATGTGACATGACCATCAGCATGGTCCCCACAATATCAAAAAAGCTCTCTCGAGTGGCAGACTCGATTGCAGAGCGTGATATGCACAAAAGCACCAAGAAGTATTTTGTTTATTCCTGTTCATAAGTCGATCAACGGTTGACGCCGAGGACGCCAAGAGTGATGTAATGTGACCTTTTGCGTTGTGTCTCACGTGACTTTGCATCACGTGAGATATTCTTCGATCCAAGTCTAAACTCCGAGTATTTGGGATTCTTTCTCTTTTCGGAACTTCTCAACGGTGGCACCCCATCACCTCACTTCCTGCCGTGAGATCTGGCCGAGTGCGTTTATCACTCTTATTCTCGCGATCCGCCCTCCTCGTTAGTTTCGTGCTCCCATATTTTCAAAGACCACCTCTGCCTCGTTCGGACGTGCAAAGATGTGGATCATAAACTGGTGTATGTGTAATGGACTTCCTGCGCTTGTGCAGAGGACAGACTGACCTGATGGTTGTTATCACTCTAGTCTACGATATCCTCGCCTCTCTGGGTCTTCTCAACAAGCATGCCAAACTCCTCTTCCTCGGTCTCGATAATGCGGGAAAGACAACACTATTACACATGTTGAAGGTGAGAGGGCTCTGAAGCAACAAACCGCGGAGTTTGTGTGGTGCGGAACTGGATAGGAACAGATTGGGACTGCCTATCATGACCCATGGCTTTGATCATGGACGTGAAGGAGCTGCAATCTTGGACTCGGTTCGGTCGTAGAGTTCGAAAGCTGACCATGCGTGCTTCTTTATAGAATGACCGTGTCGCAATTCTGCAACCAACCTTACATCCCAGTATGTACATCCCCAATGATCCTCTTCGAATCAGTATATTATACTGACAACCTCTGGCACAGCTTCCGAAGAACTCGCCATTGGAAACAACAGATTCACAACCTTCGACCTGGGTGGTCATCAACAAGGTACGTTGGACACTATTTCGCAGCTCTTCGGGGCGACGCAGCCAGGTGGACTGACTCCTGCGCAGCGCGCCGCCTCTGGCGCGACTACTTCCCCGAGGTATCGGGCATCGTCTTCCTCGTCGACGCCAAGGACCACGAACGTCTACCGGAAGCCAAAGCAGAACTCGATGCCCTACTGGCAATGGAAGACCTCGCAAAGACGCCGTTCCTGATTCTGGGAAACAAAATCGATCACCCGGATGCGGTGTCAGAGGATGAATTGAGACATCAGCTAGGCCTGTATCAGACTACGGGCAAGGGCAAGGTACCACTCGAGGGAATCAGGCCGATTGAGGTGTTTATGTGCAGTGTTGTCATGAGGCAGGGTTATGGAGAGGGTATCAGGTGGTTGGCGCAATATGTTTGAAAGACAGCAGAGCAGATGATGCATAATGACAAAAGGGAGGCAATCCCGACGGCCTTCAGCGATCGATACGTTCAATCTGTCGAGCCACAATCCCCATAGTCCCAATTTCACCCTTTCGTCAGAGAAATCAATCAATCAATCAGTTCCTCAAACCTCGTCCGCCGTCCCATTCCATGCACACACATACATCAACCATACCAAATCAATGGGCCCTTGGTACGAAGAGGAGTCAAAAATCGGAGTTGATAAGACACAATGTCATTTCCTCATTTGAGCACCGACCACTCACATGCAAACCCCCATCAAAACATTTTGACCCGAGACAACACGATACACATGCTGGAAGAAGAACATACAAGATAAGACGAGAGCGCGAGAGGCAGAAAGAGAGGAAGAGAAGTAAAACAAGAACACAGCAACGAAATACACAAGACTCGGGCAGAGAAAGAGAGAGAGAGAGAGAAAAGACAGACAGACAGACTAAACGAACATCCGGTCGGTAGAGAGGGAGGCAGGTTAGTCAGGTAAACAGGTAAACAAGTACTAGACCATTGAATGAATGGATGAGATTTTCTGTCGATATTTTGACCGCATCCATCATCATCACTATCGATCCAGTCTGTGCCAACACACACACACACACACATATATATCTCCATACTTACCTATATACTTACCTGTCTGCCTACCCACCTAGCTACGTAGTAAGGGAGAGTAAGCCAGAGAACATACAGATATCCAAGCTCCACATGTATGTGTATAACGAGTCAATGTACATGGTATGTATGTGCCTTGTGGGGGTATATATGTCTATATATATTTATACGTGTTGTGTTGAACGTCCTAGGTACCTAATGTGTAGATATAGCCCTCGAGATGGGTCCACGAGGTACAGCTCACCTCTGTTGTTCCCGGCTCCCAAGGTCAGCGACCACAACACTCAATCTGGAAGATATGGCGTAGGCAAGACATATAGGCGAAGTTCGTCGTACGCACGACTATCTCGTCTCATCCCAAAATAACAACAAAACCCTCTATTAAATTCACAGCATACTACTTATTTAAAGTCATCTTGATACAGAGGGAGCGGATTCAACTGCTAACTCGATGCGTAACTGCTCTGCTTTGTGTCGTGTGGTATGATCTGCTTTATTCTTGTTCTGCACCGTGCATTCATTCATTCCATGGGCGTTTCTTTGTCCGTCCTTCATCACCGCATCGAAAAAAAGGGCAGGAAAGCAAAACCGGCATTTGCGTAGTACATTTGGAATGGGGAAAGTAGTCTCGCCTTGCGCCCTGCGCTCCAGCAACATCTCTTTTCCTTCTTTCCCACAGACAAAAACACATCGGCAGTTACACCGCGAACAGGGGGGTCAAGTTCCGGGTGGTCAAAAAAGCATTCTCCATGTCTCATACACCACGACCCTGTTCCACAAAACATCACTATCCCTGAGCCCATTTCCATTGAGAGCCCCATGAAAAGTACTTAGGCCGACTCGTCCTTGACCTTTGCCTCGACCCAATACCTTGCCGTCGAATTTGTCGTCATGACCGATTTTGCCATTGTGGATACTAAAGACTGGCGTCCGACCTCCAAAAATCTGACAGGTCCGAGGGGCTAGTCAACGTATTGATGAAAATGAGTAACTGGGAAGTCTTTCGCAGCTCCAAAAAGATGAGATGTTCATGAGAGCGTGGAAACTATCAAGTGGTGGCGGTTGGTCACATGCTTCGGAACCGGAGGGAAAGGAGACTGGTCGAGTGCGAGACCGGATCGACGGGGAAGCCAGAAGGTGACCCTATCTTCTTCCAAACCTGCTATCAATGACATCGATCAGCCCGAGTCGAAGGGACTAGGTTTTGGATTTGCGAGACGGAGTATTGGACCCGCTTGGGCTCTTGGAGCCATACACGTACTTTTGTTTCTTCTCGGCAGGTTTGAGAATCTGGTGCGGGTGGAAAGTCAGCAAGGATACTTCAAGGATCCAGAGGGTTTGTGCCGTACCTGGAAGGAGCAGAGTAGACTTTCGTCTACGCTCATCATGGCACCAGCATTGTCAAACTCGCCGCAGTAGTTTGGAGCGCTGAACAGGGTGACCAGCTGTCGCTTGGAGAAGAACTCGTAGCCGTCTTCCACCACTTGATGTGCACGACAGATAAGGTCCATGTCATGTTTTTGCAGGAATCGTGACACGACATCGGGTCCAAAGGTGAAGGACACGCCACGATCGTTCTCACTCCAGCCGGTGATGTCCTTGTCGGGATCTGACCAGAGTAAATCGCAAAGGAGGCCGCAGTCCGGAATCTGTTGTTCGTTAGTGGATTCAGTACTCATGTAGAACAGCCGGGACCGTGCCGGCTTCGCAAGCAGGTGGGAACACTCACATCTGTCGGTCGCATGACACGGCGTATCTGTTCCATTGAGTTCAGATCCGGACTCAAGCCACCGTGCATGGTGAAGATCTTCTCGTCAATGATAGCGGCGATCGGCAAGCAGTTGAAGCAGTCCGTAAATGTCTTCCATAGCTTAATATTGTATCGACGTTTGCACTCATCGTAGAAGCCGTAAATACGGTTGATGGAAGCGCACTCGTGGTTGCCACGCAGAATGAAGAAGTTTTCGGGGTATTTGATCTTGTAGGCTAGAAGCAAGCAGATAGTCTCGAGGGATTGCTTGCCTCGATCCACGTAGTCGCCGAGGAAGAGGTAGTTGGCTTCGGGGGGGAAACCGCCATATTCGAAGAGGCGGAGAAGGTCGTAGTACTGGCCATGAATATCGCCACAAATCTACGACGATGATAATCAGTGTGACTGTTTTCCGCGAGGGCAGATTGATGTTCAAAGGAGGAGCAATTCGTACCTTGATGGGGGCTTCTAGCTCGAGCAATATCGGCTGCGAGATGAAGATTTCTCGCGCCTTTGTGCAAAGGTAGCGAATCTCATTTTCGAGCAGCTGAACCTGCTTCCCTGGTCTGCTTCCTCTGACCTCTAACAGGCGATCAATGACAGAATCGAGGTCTACCTCATTTGCGTCGGCCATAGTGGGATCGCCGCGGGCGGGGCAAGGGGGTGGAAGGAAGGGGGGGCGGCGACCAGGTGCGGTCGGATGAGAGGAGATTCAAGGAAATCAATGGGTGTCGAGGCGTGCAGATGGTAACGCTAGTCTGCTGAAGAATGTTTTGGATCAGTCTGGGATGAATTAATTGTAGGTGGTGAGTGGCAGCTGACGCAACTGACTAGTTCGGGGGGTGGCAGAGAGTATGTACCAAAATTGAATTTTCGACCCCGAGGCACCCAACAAACGGGTTCAGCGAGAGGAGTCCCCAATCAGACTTGACGAGGGAGGAATGAAGATCGCAGGGGACAATGACCTTCAGCAAAGAAAGGTGTTGTTATCGTGGTGGATGTTGGAGGCACAATGTGCCAGGGCTGAGGAGTGTTTTCTCGGCGCAGAGCGGGCAACGCAGTTGGGTTTCGAGAGCACCAGTTTGACACCGTACGATTTTTCTTCTTGCAGGTAGTGGGTCGGTGTCAGTGACAAAGAACCGGATTCGCGGTGCTTTGAAGAATGAGGATGGAATGAATCGAATACAGATCGCAGGGCGATTAATACAGGCGAAACGCGAGGTGAACTGCGGCCGGATGAGAAACGCAGTGCAGGTTTGCGGTGGTTATGGGATAAGATGGACTGGATGAGTGGTTGGTGGACGGAGGGAGGGATGGGAATGGGAGGGATCAGTGGGTGGAAGGCGGGATTCGTCTATTTTCTCAAATCCTGGCAGGCGGCAAGGCGGTATCCTCTCTTGGCACCAACACTCCTCGTTATGTTTTAGTTGCAAGACACAGAAATCTTCCCTCTCCTATTTCTTCTTTCTGGTTGAGTTTTTTCCTTCGGTCTGACACCGTGAAGAGAAGTACAAGGACTGTCTGGGGAAAGAGGAGGAAACATAACAAGAGCAAAACAAGAGATAGTCTTATGTGTGCAGCCTGCGAGCATGCAATTTGGGGTGAGAAAGAGAAGGAGACACCCAAGAGACACCACGAGATACGCGAGAAGGAATGAGACAGTCGCCACGAGTGACAACAACGCCAGTATCTCATTACTCAACTCACCTGTCCTCTACATCATTCAGTCAAGTTTTCTTGCAAGAAGAGCTGCGAATACAGCGTTCCCCTGGCTGCGCTCTAACTGCTAAATCGCGTTCAACTCTCCTCCCCTCCACCAACCCATCCCACTCATTAATCACCCAATCAGCCCACCCAAACACCACTGTGGCCGTGGCCTCCTGCATCCTCTAAATACCTTTCACCTTTCTCCTTTCGACCATCATCTACTGTATTTGATAAGTACGGGCAAGGCCCTTCCCATGCTGACATAAAGCAATACCTGTAACACTTCGCCTCCACCTCACGACAGAGATTTGGTATGGGTGCGCGTAATTTCCCTTGAGCATGAGCTGACGTCGCCGTGGCGACCATAAAGAATCTACCATTGCAAACCTTTCCCCCTCCCAACCTCTACAAAGCTCTTAGGCCATCACTTCGCCTTTGTGGTGTCGACTTTAGGATCCTGCGTGGTCGCTTACTCGACGACTCGGATTCCTTACCTGGGAAATTAGCCTGTGGTGACACTCTGCATACGCAGATAATCATTCGACGCTTGTTCTTATTGTCGGATTTGTGGATGAGCCTCGTAACTTCCCCAGCTATATCCGGACTCCGGGCACAGTGTGCCAGGATTCTGCTGCAGGTGTCAGCACTCTGTTATTGTAAGAGCACCATTCGTACTAAGCATAGTTCTGTGTCCATCGAGGTGGCAACGCGCTGTCCGGTAAGCAGGAGATGGATGTAGATATTGGTACTGTACTTTGGAAAGATCGCGAACATGTATCAATTGCAAACAGGCACTAAACTTCCATCCCAGTCCCATGGTCTCATGCTTTCATGCAATCATGCAGACATGATAAAAGCAGTCTGTAATAGATTCCCATCCCGTCAGA